AGTCTCCTGAGCCAGGAAGCCAGGGCGCGGGCCGCCCTGTGGGAAGCCACCAGCGAGAAGCCCAATCGTACGCTTCAAGAGCCCTGCCGACCGCCTCGGGCAACGTCGGCGGCGTACACTGCACGCACGGCGCTGGCAGTGGATGGCTTTCACATGCGGCGCTATTCGTGGCTCTCTGATCCTGCTCTGCGCGTGGTCTCTTTATTGTTTGCGGTATTTAGTCACTTCGCTCATTCCGCCGGCCCTGGGGCCCTCTTTCGGGCCTCTTGGGGGCCGCCCCTTGGCGGCGTCTCGGGGGCCCCCAGGGCCTTCCGGGGTGCCCTTGGGGGGGGCGGGAGGGGGGGCAGTCGATTGCGGCTCCCCCCTCGGGCGCCGCGATCCTCGTGAGGGGTGTCGAAATGGCCCTCCCATGACGCGCTCTGGGGGGATCTGAGCGGATGCGCGCATTCTCTCTGCTGGCAGCGCTGTCGCTTCAGCCGCGGACGCAGCGCGGCGACAGTCGACTCGCGCAGAGATTAGCGGGAAGAAGGGGGGAGCAAACAGCTCTCTTCGTCTAGGTTGGAGTTGGAATGCAGGAGGAACGGATTCCCAATGCATGTTGATTGCGCATCTGTGCCTGACCACGTACAGATATGCTCGTGTTATCTGCCTGGCCCCTGCTGCGGCGGGACCTTGCTTCGCTTCCAGAGTAGTTGCGGGATGCCCCATGGCCGCAAGGTTCGTTCGGGCATGCCTCCGGGGGCCCCTCAGCGCGATGAGACTTCCTCGGGGTGTTTCCCTGGTGCAGTTCATCGATGATTCGGGCCTTGGCTCCGCGGGCACGGCTGAGGATGTGATCCAGGGCGCGAAGCCGGGAGCTGTGCAACTTGAGCATGCGCTGGCGCAGGCATGCGGTAGCTCGATATCGCAATCCAAGGCTGGGCAGGGCAACTCTGCGTGCCCCGATGGCCATGTCGCAGGAGTTTTACATGTTCTGTTCTGGCGAGCGCGCAGGGTCCCAGCGCGACAGCGCAGTCGATCTTGGGGTCGACTTCGCTGCGGGGAGGTCTAGGCGGTAAGCTCACTTCAAGAAGGCTGTGCGCGGGGTGTCGGGGCCTCTCCCCCGCGTTGTGCACGGGGCTGGGGCACGCGGAATCTCGGGCGGCGAACTCCACGGGACCAGGCAGCAAGCGGGGGCAATCATGCGCCTAGCTGCAAGGGCAGATCATTTACGAGCCTTCTCACATTTGAGCACGAGCCCACGCGGCTGGCGGCGGTTGCTCCTACCGCTCGTCATGCGAAGGAATTGTGGCGCGCTCACTCGCGGGCTCACCGATGGTCTTTTCCATTTCGTGAGCTCCGAGAAGCGTGGCATATGCTTCGCAGCAGGCCTGAGCCGACGTCTCGGGGGATGGTCGCAGGGCCATCCTCGGCGACGCGGGTGTCTTTGAGGCGCATCAGGTGGAGGGCGAAGGATTGGGTGGCCGTCGTAAATGACTTCTGGAAGGAAGTCATTCTCACGGAGGTATGCCCAGCTTGACTGAAGTTGCTGCTGCGACAAGCCGTGCTGCGGGAGCTCGAGCGTCGTGCGGCGGCCTATTCGAATCTCGATTGCCAGCGCCTGTGCTACGATGCGGTCAACACGGTGCTGAGGTCCCTCCGAGTGCCCCCGTCAGGTCGCGCCGCTGTTCGAACGATCGGATGCAATGCCAGTTGGACGAAGGTGAAGGCCAAGAGTCTCGGTTACCAGTTGGCTGGCGTCTCCTGTTCTTCGCGAGGGCAGGAGCCACGCACAGTGTTGCGCAGTCTGTGGAGATGCCCATGCCAGGAGGAGACAAGGAATGAGAGTCTCGCAGGAGGCGCGGGATCTCTGACAGCATGGACCACGAGATCGCTCAGGACCTTCTTCTCGCCCGTGGATTGTTTCCGCATCCAGGTGACTATTGGCCGCGCCCCGACCCGACGGGAAAGGCGCGCAGGCAGTGGGAAGAGAACGAGGGGCAACAGCAGGAGGAGGAGCACATGATCAAGGGGGAGGTGTTCATGGACGGCAGTTGCGACAAAAATGAGATACCAGAATGAAGTCGGGCAGGCTGTGGGAATCCCGTTTTCAGTGCGGATCGTAAGCTCATCGGGAGAGTTTTCGGCGCGGACTATGGGGCCTTGAACCAGACTGCCCAGGCGGGCGAGTTTTCGGCCTTTGGTCGGCTGGACCAGTTCCCCGAAGGAGAAGCCACCCTGTATTCTGATTGCCAGAACGTGTGTGCGCAGGCTCGGAGCCCCTGGGTGATCAGATGTCGCACCAGCGGCCGTGCGCTGGACCTGTCAGTTTTGTTTTCCTAAGCGGCAGTGGGTCAGATCGGTCAACAAAGGCAAGGCGCACCTGTCTCTGGAAGAGCAAGGTGTGCCAGTGAGCGAGATGTTCCCCCGCAGGGGGAACTTCCAAGCCGGTCAGGCTGCCAAGGCTGGATCTCGCCTCCACGATTCTGCGAATCTGAACATGGCCGATGCTCGGCGTAAGACGAGACGGGTCGCGCGCGCTGTATCTAAGTTTGCCGCAACGTTGCTCTTTGAATGGCCGAAGCTCGACCTCAGTGGAACGAGCTCTGTCCCCCTACCCGACCGAACTTGGGCAGGAGAAAGGGTCGCCAGCACGTGTGGAGTTTCACCTGTGGACGCCGGCGATGTAGTGTGTGCGTGAAAGGCTTCTCGGTCAACTGTCCGACCCCAAGTCTCGGGACGTCTTGGAGATTTGGAAGGTTGGGATTTCGGAGAGATGGAACGTCTAGGCCATTTTGTGGTCGGTGTGCCGTGTTCTGACGGTGGGATCCTCTATGTCTGTACGCACTCTGTTTCTCATGTTGGACCGGGTTCAAGCAAGAAGTCCCATTTGATGCGCAGGTGCGACAATTCCAAGACCCCACAGAAAAAAACAGTTGTGGAACCGAACGTTGCGTGGCCATTACCCCAAACACGGCTCGTCCATAAAACTGGGCGCTGAAGGCATAAGTTGAAGTTGCTGATGTTGAAAGATCCCCCCTCCTCCTCCTCCTCCTACTCCTCCTCCTCCTCCTCCTCCTCCTCCTCCTCCTCCTCTTCTCCTCCTCCTCCTCCTCCTCCTCCTCTTTTCCTCCTCCTCCTCCTCTTTTCCTCCTTCTCCTCTTTCCTCCTCCTCCTCTTTTCCTCCTCCTCCTCCTCTTTTCCTCCTCTTTTCCTCCTCCTCCTCCTCCTCCTCCTCCTCCTCCTCCTCCTCCTCTCCTCCTCCTCCTCCTCCTCCTCCTCCTCCTCCTCCTCCCTCCTCCTACTTTCAACGCCTTCCGACTTCATGTTTCTACCTACATCTTCCGACCGATGGGTATCTGCTGTCTCGACCACCAAGCCAGGCGGGGGCGTGTGCACCGGTCCTGTGCAGGGTGTGGCCGGCCTGGAGCGGCCACAGCCGGCTTGCAGCCAGATGCTTCTCATTGGCTCGTTGATTCGTTGACCTTTCTCCCCTCCTCTTACACGGAGGCGATCCTCGCCCTCGCCATCATCGTCATCATCGTCGTCGTCGTCCTCACCATCATCGTCATCAACATCAACGTCATCAGCACCATCATCATCATCATTCATCATCATCAGCATCAGCATCAGCATCAGCGTCAGCATCATCATCACGATCGTCATCATCGTCATCGTCATCATCATCATCATCATCAGCAGCATCATCATCATCGCCATCATCATCATCAACAACATGAGCAGCACCATCATCACCATCGTCACCATCATCGCCATTATCATCATCATCATCATCATCATCATCATCATCATCATCATCGTCATCGTCATCGTCATCATCATCATCGCCATCATCATCATCAGCATCATCAGCACCAGCATCATCATCACCGCAATCAGCATCACCATCACCAGCATTATCATCATCATCATCATCTCCACCAACACCATCATCATCACCATCAGCATCATCATTATCATCATCATCATCGCCATCATCGCCACCATCGTCATCAGCATCATCATCGCCATCATCATCATCAGCAGCAGCATAATCATACTCATCACCATCATCAGCATACTCATCATCACCACCGTCGTCGCCACACTTACCATCAGCAGCATCATCAGCATCATCAGCATCATCATCATACTCATCAACATCAACATACCAATATTCATCGTGCAATCACATAATCAGAAAATGTTCTACAACAGCATGATCATCATCATCCGCATCATCCACAGCATCGCTTGTTATCATTTGCACCGCCACCAACAATTAGCATCATCGCCACCATCAGTATCATCATCACCACCATCATGATCACCAGCCTCATCACCTTCATCACCATCGTCGTCAGTATCATCAGCATCATCATCATCACCGTCGTCGCCGTCGTCAACAACAGCATCATCATCAGCAGCAGCATCATCATCACCATCAGCAGCATCATCAGCACCATCATCATCACCATCATCATCATGATCTGTCTCTCCTCCCCCTCCTTCTCCTCCTCCTCCTCCTCTTCCTCCTCCTCCTCTCTTCCTCCACCCCCCCTCCTCCTCCTCCTTCTCCTCCTCTTCTCTCCTCCTCCTCCTCATCCTCTTCCTCCTCCTCCTCTCCTCCCCCTTCTCCTCTCTTCCTCTTCCTCCCCCTCCTCCTCCTCCTCCTCCTCCTCCTCGTCTCTCAGCATTCGCTGTGCGCGGTCCCCACTCCACTACGCACCGCGCCTGGCCCTCCCGCGCGCCACCAGGCCCCGACGTGCAGGGCTGCCCTTTCCCAAGGGCGCAGGGCTGCCCTTTCGCAAGGAGGAGAGGAGAGGTGGAGGCCAAAGAGGGGAGAAAGGAGGTGGGAACCTCCTCCTGCCTCTCTTCCTCCTCCTCCTCCGCCTCCCCTGTCCACCCCGCCTCCTCCCTCCCCACTCGTCCTCTCCCCCATCGCCCTGCCGTGGGGCCCTTCGGCGACCCTCGGCAGCCTCCGCCGCCGACGACGGCGGCGACGACCCGTCGGCGGCCAGGAGGCAACGGCGATCGGCACGCTGCCGGACAGCGGCCGCAAGGCTCGGGCCGGACGAACCCAGACATGCTCGCGGCGGAAAACAACATCGAAACGGATGGTGTTGTTCCTCGTTCTCGGCCTGTCTGGGGGCCCTTGCCCGGCCCCAGGACTTTCAAAAACGAGGCAGGAGGAAAAGCCGATCCCAGGGACAGGGTCGGGACTTCCGGGGACCGCGCATGCACAAAGGTCAGGACGTCGCATGCTTGTGGAAAGGGGGAGGCGACATGTGCTACCTGCAGCTGGTCTATGCCCCGCCGAGAGAGGCCCCTTCCCTCGGTGCTTTGCCGCCTCCGGCGCCAGGAGGCGCCCGGAGAATCGGTTGCGAGAGCCGGTTCGCTAACTATAGCTCGGGCATATCCTCCTACAGGTGGATTTTGGACGACACATCGCAATATTCCAAACAGAATCCAAAACAGTCAGAAATAGTCGAAAAATCGTCCCCATACTATTTCGCACTATTTTGAATATTCCTCCTGTAGAGGGACATGCCCGACTCAACGCTAACTCCTGCCCTTGCTATTCCCCCCCTTCTCAGCCGCGCGCAGAGGGGGTAGGGTGGAGGGGGGAAGGCTTCGCAGAAGCACCCCTGCTTTTCAGAAGGCGCGGGCCTCACATATCTACAGACGAGGCCCGCGCCTTCTGAGAAGCAGGGGTGCTTCTGAGAAGCCTCCCCCCCTCCGCCCTGCCCCCCCTCTGCGTGCCGCCGACCTCCGTCTGGCCCGAAAGGTGCGCCAGTGGCTCCGCTACTTGCGCTGCCTCCAGCTCTTCCTTGAGGCCCGGGGGCGGGGCCAGTCGCGGG